ACCCAAAAGGCGAAAGGATTACTGTTTAATACAATGTGTTTCCATCTTGGAAAAAGTGTACAATATCAATCACTTAAATCTCTGACAAAGGTAGAGGTGCACAGCAAATGGAGAAATAGTCACAAAAGGTCAGCGACAGTTGAACCCCAACTCTTTGACCGTCTGAGGGTCTTCTAGTGCCCCCTCCCCTTCTTATTTTCTGAGACAAGGTCTCATGTGCCTCATCCCTGGCTAGACTGGAAATTATTTTATGAAGAGTAGGATGAGCCTGAGCTTCTGGTCTCCGGCTCCTCTCTCCCTAGTGCTGTATTATACCCAGGAAGCAATGTCCTGACTTTATGAGGCAGGGGATTGAACTCAGTGTTTCATGCCTGCTAAGGAAGTGTCTATCAACTGAGCTCTGTCTTCAGTTTCCTCTCTAAGCTGTGGTCCCATTTTGAGAGAGCAAGATGCTGTGTCCGTCATGTCTTGTCTCTGTGCTTTGGAAGTTCCATTCTCAGAGGCCCAGCAGGATGATGGAGCCCCCACTGTGACCTCTCCATAACCCAATACAAGGAGTTCATATCTTTTTGAGTACAAAGCCAGAACACAGCCATGTCACAAAGAATGGAGAAAGATTTACTACCTGCAGCAGGCAATGTGAACATCAGAGTAATTCAAAATCAACGTCCTTCTCAAACCAAGAGGGCCACAGGACCTCATCTAGGAAACGTATATCCATTTACATAATGGTGGACTCTCTCCTGAGCATGCTCACTTTAAGGTCATGATTTAAGAAGGACAAATAGTAGACCTATCTTCAGGGCATGTTTAGTTCAAGGTCAGATAGAAAGCCAGGGAAGACTATTGGAGCATTGGAAGGGAGAAGTAGCCCTCAGTTGGAGACCTAGTTGGTTTTTAAAGAAACTTCAGTATAACTGATAAAACTGAAAGAGCTTACAGAAATGCTGGTTTTCCTGAAGACATCTCAGGTAAAAATGCTATAAAACCATAAATAAGGCATGCGTACTTAGGGCCAGGGCATTCGCAACCCCGAGTTAAACCTTTTCAGTACCCCTGTCTCATCCCTAAACCCAAATGATACACCCCATACTTTCACCTTATAATTTCATATACAGAAGAACATTCTTTAACATATGGACTGCTTAATTTTTAAGCTTTGCTTAATCACTAAACGTTGCTGTAAATGATAACTTAAATGATACCCTTGGAGCAGTGGGTCTCAGAGAGCACTGAGTCCTACACACAGCCATTGTGAAGACACTCAAGTGGGGAGTGGGGATCTCCTTTGGAGAAGTCCACACCATCAGCATCATGTATCAGTTATGTAATGTCCTTTCCCCCACTTCTTTCCCCATCTCTCTCTGCCAGCACTTCCATAGATGTGAACAGTGCACTATCCTCATCTTTATCCAATCAACTCTATAATTTGGTTCCACTCTCAGGTGTCCTGAAACTCTTTCCTGCTTTGGAGTCAATGCTCTGGCTTTACCTGAATGGAAGCCGCTGAGGGAGGGAGTTATTAGGTAGGCTACTAAAACGCTGAGCTGCAGCCTCCCCACCCCCAGGGTAGCACCTGTTTAAATGATAGGAACAGAAAAACTTCTGGGCCTACAACTTGTATCATAAAGTCCATGTAAGTAGGGATATGTTGGGCAGGGTCGTGGGTGAGAGCGCGGCACTTCCGGTGGGCGACCGAGGATGTGAGTTGAGGCAGTTGCGGGCGGGCGCGAACTGGAGCGAAGCGGCTGTCCCGGAGCGCTGTTCGGTTGTGCGAGGTGGCTGGTCCTGAGAGGGTGGGGAGCAGACTGGAGGGTCTGCCTCTGCCCCAGCCTCCAAAGGCGGACAAGTGTTACAGCTCTTTTGGTTCCTTCTCTTCGAGGGCAGCCCGGAAGTGCCCGCAGAGGGAAAAGTGTTACAGCTCTGCCCACCGTGGATCCGGGAGGAGAGAAGTGTTGTTGTCCTTTGAAGTGCGCAGGATAGCCGGCGACTGGCGAGGAAAAGCACTCCGACAGCGGGAAAGATCTCACACCACACAACACCTTTACTTTTGAGCTCTGGGGATATATACGGTTTTTGGGGGGAGAGCAGGTAGCTCCTATTGGTTTGGTTTGATAGCTTGGGAATGCCTTATTTACATGGAGGTGTTATTCCTACGTGATCAAGGCCATGGACCTCTCCGTGGGAGGGGCTGTGGGGAGCGGAAGCCAAGAGAGCCATATGGCTTTGGGAAAGTTTGAAGTGGCCTCCCGTCCTACTGGCCTTCTTCAGACCAAGGTTCCCGAGGCCTCAGATCTTTCTACCAAGCTTTCTGGCTTTTTCTCATAGCCTACTGCACCACAGAGATATAGTTGAGAATAAGGGAAAAGATGTGTTTGATACAGAACACGTTTTAATATAACGATCTGCCTCTAATGCCGCCTGCCTCACTTAGACTCTTGTGCATACTGAGCCCCAGGCATCTCTGGGATACTCAGCAGACTTATATATGACAGTCTTGATTGCCCCACCTCATCTGACTCCTATGGTAGAGGCTCCAGACTGGGAAGGACAAACCAAGGCTACCAAGGTCTGCTCCCTCCTATGCTCACCCATCCAGGAAAGCTATCCCCCCAGGAAGCTCTGCTGTTGAGGTCTTGGCCAGAAAGAAAGAATGGGAAGCTCAGAGATCTGCCCAGGAGTGGGGTTGGGATAGGATAGGGAGGGTTGGGAGGAGGAAGACCTCTGGAAAGCTCAGAGATCTGCCCCCGGAAAAAAGACTTCTTTCAGAACAGGATGTGAAGAATTCTGTTCACGCTGAGTTCTCAGAAACATTGTAAATACATCTTGGTGAGAATAAATAAATAAAAGGGTGTTCAGAACTCCATGGTGCTGGAGCAATAAACAAATCCCCCGAATCCTCACTTAATAGAGTACTAGACACAGAGCCCAGGAGAATCCTGTGGGACCAGCCTGTCTGGGGAAATGTAGAAACTGCTGCTGAGTGCAGCCTGTGCCGATTCTGGAGCAGTCGGGTGAGGGTGTGTGGAGGCTCAAATGAGTGATACAAATTATGACGAGCTCAGAACAGTAAAAGTTACAAGGCTACAAGGCAGATTAGTGGTTTCATAGGATAGAAACTGGGAGGGGAAGAGTGAGTCTTAGTGGTTTCTGGGCTGGATTTCCTTTTTGGGGGGTGGTGATGAGCGTATTATGAACTTGAGATATTGATGAATATAATGAACTCAGATTGGAAATAGACTAAGACCCTCTTAACTGTATGCTTTAAGTTGGTCAAATTTATGATAGCAGATTCTATCTTAATAAGGATGTTTAAGAAAAGCAAAACAAGCTAACCAACCAACCAACCAACCAACCAAGAACCAAAGATTTCTAACACTATATAAGCTGTTTAGAGATTGTGGTGGTTTGAATGAGAAACATCACTCATCTAGTTGGTGGCATTGTTTGGGAAAGTTCTGGACGCTTTAGGAGGTGCAGCCTTCCTGTAGGAAGTGCATTCCTGGGGGTGGGCATTGAGGGTTCATAGCCTCATGTCACTTTTCCCCTCCCCACTCTGCCTCATTTCTGGTGTGTGGATGAAATGTGACTAGCTGGCCTCTACTCCTGCTGCATGCCAGGTCTTTGCTGTTATTATGGACTCTAGTTCTCTGTAAGAATTGTAAGTCACATACACTCTTTCTTCCTCAAGTGCTTTTAGTCATGGTGTTTTATCTCAGCAACAGAAAGTAACTAACACAGAGACACAGGGAGAGGAGCTAGCTTTTCTTGGTTAAGGGATTTGTTCCCTCTGGCCTCTGGCCTCAGTCAGGCTGGAAACTCTGCTCTTTGAGCTCCAGGCTTGCAATCTGGAGTTAAGAACAACCTTCTGGGTCTGCACTGGCCTTGCCTCACACAAGTTCATGGTGTCATGGTGGTGTTTTCTTGCTCTTCCTCACTGTGAGGTCTCCATACTAATAGGGACATACCCACCCACACCCCATATTCCATATAGTTTATTTTCCCCTGACTGCACTGTCTAACATCCTTCATTGGAATGGCTTAGATGCCCCTGAGGTCATCCGTCAGACGTCTATCTTTTGACTTGAGGGATGAGTTGAATAGACCTTGCCTACATGCTCCAGCTCCCTCACCCCCCACCCCCCCACCCCCAGCTTGCTTTCTGTCTTCACTCCTCACAGTCTTAGCAAAATATGCTCTGTCTGTCTGGAATGCTGGCTGTGCTAAGCACCAGGCTGACACCAACTTCTAGGCTGCCTCATTTTCACACAGTTCCAAAACAAAACAAGACTGGACTATCTACAGCATCTACTTGGACTCTGAACACTGTCCAAACAGTTAGTTAAGGGGCAGGTGAGAGGCGGGCAGGAAGCCCTGAGCTATCCTTCTGGAATGAGAGATGCTCTTCCGGTCAGCTTTCCTGGGAGTGAGCACAGAGTGGTATTGTTTCCCTGGGTGATTCTGAAATGCCTGCTGCCCAGCCCAGTCCCAGAGTATGCTGAGAATGCAGCCCACTGCCAGGCTGCTCTCACTGAAGAGCCGAATCTTCCTTTCTCATATCTACCCTGAGCAATCTTGATTAGGCTGCCAATATAGCCCTGGGCCTTTGGCACCAGTGGGCGGTATCACAAGCAGAACATACCATAGAGTTCTTGCTGAAGGCTGAGCCCTTTGTTGGATGTGAGGATGAACTCATGTTTTCTGTTTCTTTAGAGCTTAGAAAGTTGGGTCAGCAGCCTTGTGGAGAATGAAGCCATGGTCTCTCTGCCCACCCCTTGCCAAGAAGGAGACTATGTTGATTCCACAAGGCAAAGCTTCATTTGTGCCTTGCTGGAGGTCACTACAAATCTGGCTTGGTACACTATCTCATTGTTTTGAATGTCCAGGCACCACTAGGATATGAGCAGCTGACCAATAGAGACCCTGAATTCCCTGCAGGGACTGTGGCTTTAGGAGTCTTCTGGCAGGTCTATCCATCTGTAGACCTCTAGCTGAGAAGCTCAGAACAGGTCAGTGGCCATAAGAGAAGGCAGAAAGAGTGGGGTCTGGGAGGGAGGGATGATGGGGGTTGTGTCAGAGCTGGTTTCCTCTGGTCCACTGTCACTATCACCCAGACCTTCAGTGAGGGATGGGATGATTCTGACCACGTTGTCTTCAAAGTGTACCTGCTTTTTCTTGGCCAAGGAGTCAGCAGGCTCCAACGCCAGTTCCATTAGGGTATCTTGGGTCTGCAGGACACGTGGCTTCTTAGTCCCCTTCAGGATGCTCTTCATGTGGATGAAGAAGGAGCCGGGTCCCTCCTTGAAGGCTTCGTGGAAAGTATAGGTTTGCTCAGTGTCCCCAGAGCCTGTAGTGCTCACAATGCTGCTGGAAGGGTCTGTGTACTGCTCCGTGGGGGGTGCCACCTCAGGAGCAGCCTTTCTTTTTTTTCGCTTGCTCAGCAGGAAGTAGGCTAGGCCAGTGATGATTAGCATGGAGCCTGGAAAAAAGATCTGGGAGGTCAAGACACTGCACAGACACACCATGGAGGAAAACCAGAGGCTGAGCAAGCCTTTCTCTCTACAGCACTACTGCTGTACCATACTGTACAGCCACAGTCAGCACCCTGACAGTCTAGCCTTCATACACCCACATCAGACTCAGGTGCTGACATGATGACACTACAAGGCTAAAAGGTTCAAAGAGGTCCAGTGCTATGTGGGGCTGGGATACCAAAGAAGGGATTGGTCTGCTCTCTCTGTCCCACATCCCCTTCATATGGAGAGTTGGTCTATGGTACTGACTTCATCACCACACTCAGCTTTCCTCTCAGGGTAGATTATTGAGGGGAGGCATGTAATGGTTTTGCTAGATTCGGATTCTGATGGAGACGTTGAATTTCTTGGATGTCTTCTCACTCCCAGAAATGTGGAGATTCCCCCAGTCCCCACCCAGTAAGCTTGGGGAGATGTGACTCATGTTCAGTGGCACAGAGAATACTGCCCATGAATCATCTGAGCCAGTCTGCAGACTCTCTGCTTCAGTCTCCTGCAAGAAGCACAGCCCGTCTATGGGAAGCCAGGAACCTGACCACCCATGCCCACCAGTTCCAGGGTCTCTTCAGTCTACCTTTTTAGAGGGCAGGGCTTGCGGCTCATGCAATGTCAGGGGGAATCCTCCTGAGACTTTCTTCAGGGGCCATGACATATGCTAAAGAAGAGAGCTTAGCTTGCTTCAGTTTAGTCTGGGAATTTTTAGGTATTTCAGATGACCTCTTGGAGGGCAGTGTATGTATAAACAAGGAGGAATCAAAAGAAGGATGATAGAAAAGAAGGTAAGAGAGAGGCTTGGAGAGGTGAGGATGCCAGTTCTGGGGTTAAAAATTAAACCACCCTGCAAGGAACTAGGAGGAGGAACAGAGGATAAGCTGGCATGCTCTTTAGTGTGCCCTCCTAACCCAAGCCTAGAGCTTAGAGCTGAATGGGTAGGTACGCAGGGGATATGGAAAGGTCTGGGCTGAGGATTAACCATCTCTTTAAAAGTGGCCAGAGGGAGGACAACCCAGGGTCCCATCAAAGGTCCGACCTCTGGATGGCTGTGTACAGGAGGGCTTCACCTCAGGATGGTCCTGCTACTTGGTCAGCATAGTGGGTATCTGACGGTCATGCTCACATACTGGGTTAGAGAGGGTAGATGGGCTGGTAGGGGCTCTGAGAGACAGGACATGGTCCTCCTACTTAGATCACATCTGTTCAGGGTACACATATGTCCACGACACTTGGTGCTCCTACCTGGAATGGTCACATGCCAGACAAGGACAGGGTGGAGGAAGCAGGCCACCGACAGCAGCATGTAGGCGAGGAACTTCTGGAAGCAGCCCAGCCAGTGGGCCTTCTCCTTTGCTCTGTGTGCCAGAGACCCTGGCTGACACCTGGTGGGGTGTGGGGGGAGTTCAGCATTATCAGGTTAGTAGAAATCATTCCACCAAAGTCCAAGCTCTACAGAAGGGAGGCTGGGGCTGAGCCCTGTGGTATCTGTGATAGCTGCAGTGGTTCTTGATGGAGAATCTGCAGGGTTCGGAGTCACAGAAGCCCAAGGTCCTCACAGTAGGCTCTTTGGCTAGGAGGCTTGCTTAGGCCACTCCAGAGGGTTCACAGTTTTTCTACAAAGCTTCCCTCAACCCATGCATGCTTTTAGCTATGGTTTTGATCATCAGGAAAGGAAAGCTGATGGAAGTCTTTAGAACTTTGGGGGAAGTCTTTAGTGTACAAGTAACAGTATAGTACAAGAATCATCATCCCAGGACCACTGTGTGGACTGAACACTGCACACTGCACAAAGAATAAACAGGCTGGGATTCAGCTGCATCAAGCTTGCTGTACTTTGCCAGGCACAGGGCAGAACAGGCCTGGAAAAGCTTCATTTTTTTTTTCTGACACACAGGGATCATCCAGAGTAAAGGCCGAGCCCTGATGCTGAGCAGATTTCTTCTGGGACACGGCCTTCAGGTTTCTTTACAGGCCAAGTAAGACATTGCCTGCCCTTGGACCTTGGATGCTCTCAGAGTATGGCTGCCACAGGACCTTGCCTGGTATAGCTCTTTGGCGCCATCTGGTGTCAGTCTGTGGTGTATATGTATATGTGCACACACAAAACAGACACGTCCTTGTGTAGTGGGAGATGGTGCGGAGAGGACTCTGAGACTAAAACATTCCTGCACCTCCCTGCAACATCAAGAATCCTTTGAGGTATAATTCAGCAGAAAGGGGAGCATGCTGCCGTCTAAAGGCTGAGCCTGGGAAGCAGTTATTAGCCCCCAGGGTGCTAAGGTCTGGATCTCACTGACCATTTGGGGACCTGACTATCTGAGCTTTGTTAGCCATAGTCCAGAGTCTAAGCCCTTACCACACTGATGGCCATTTTTTACACAGTGAGCATCGGCTGAGCAACAGTGGGCCTTTGTGGTCTGAATGCTAGATGAGGCAGAGCCAGTTCCTACACACAGCTCTGTTCCCTGCAAGCTGAGCCTTCTGCAGGGTCCTCAATTTGTATCGGCAGCCTGGACACTGGCCCAGAGACTGAATGTCCTGGAGTAGGGAAAGTTGACTTTGCCAAGGAGTCTGGGTAGAGTCAGGCCATGACTGGATCTGTCTAGCTGAGAACACAGAAAACAGGTGATTGGACTGTGCTGATCTAGGCCATCTCCAGGCCTGGGCTTGCCTGCTTCTGGAAGGAGAACCAGTCCACAGTGGCCCCAGAAGCAGGACAACCTCAGCCATGGCCTGCAGGTGAGGGATCCGTCTGGGGCTGGGCTGGGCAGGGATGTAAAGATTACTTCTGGAGGCTACTCACTTGAAGCAGATGGCCAACAGTTGAGCTACAAAGTAGGTCCCTTCACACACAGCGATGGTGACTCCTGTAAACCTGTGAGGGGGGAAAGCGAGGGAGGCCATTCCTGTTGGTCCCCCATGGATTTATCAAAGTTACCTCCTCTGATTCCCAGACATCTTCACTGACACACTGGCCGGGATCCCTGCCCCCATCTCTTCGTGTCTCCGTCAAACATTCCTCCAGTGCTGCCTGGATGACATACTTGACTAGACTGTCTGGAGCTAGGAGCAGAGGTGAGGAAGGAGCTGAGGCCAGCAGGTGAGGTGGCTTGCACTCGATATTTTAAGTGGACACAGGAAGATGTGTTCTCTACCTGCTAGCCCAGCCTTAAATTTGAGCGCTGTGCTGGTGGCTAGTTATTTTGTCAACTTGACACAAGCTACAGTTATCTGGGAAGAGAAAACCTCAACTGAGAAGATGCCTCCATCAGATTGGCCTCTAGGCAAGTCTGTGGACATTTTCTAGACTAGTGATTGATGTGGGAGGGCCCAGCCCATTGTGGGTGGTGCCTCTCCTGGACTGGTGGTCCTGTGATGTATTAAAAAAGAATGCAAGCCATGGTGAGCAAGGTAGCAAACAGCTTTCCTTCATCGTCTCTGCTTCAGTTCCTGTATCCAGGATCCTTCCTTGAGTTCCTGCCATGGTATTCCTTCATAATAGATTATGCATAGAAGGGCAACATGCACAATAGACCCATTCCTCCACAAGTTGCTTTAACACAGCAGTAGAAAGCAAACTAGGATGGTCCTGATGAAGATCCCCACTCTGTCTTTTTTCCAATAGTTCACCCACCCAGAGCTTCTAAGGCTCCGCCCCTTGGCTTTCCTGACTCCCTGGCCTTCCTCTCCTGTTCCTCTACTATCACCACTAGGTCGAGGATTCTGGGACACACCAGCCTGAAGATGTTTGCCTTGATCCAGAATGTCCGTGCTCCAGGCATTCTAAAATCAGAATCTTCTGGGGGGCAGATGTGAAATCAAAGGTTTTTGTCTGACTTCTTTTAATTTTATATACTAGAATCCTTGTGACTAAAGCTTCAAGTTTTGTTTGAAGAGCATTCCTGATCCATAGGATTGAAACTACATGCCATTTAAATTCCTTTATGACTACCCGTAGGTAGCACAGGGCCTTTGCACAAGCTATCCTTTCTTGGAAGGCCTCTCCTTCCCTCTGTTTGGTGAACTCTTGCTATCACAATGGCAGAGTCACTAGTCTATGAGCTTCTAAAGGATTCCTCTGTACAACTAGCATGTGAGACCTGGGTGCATCCTGGGCAGGTCTTATGGAAGAATGCCCAGTGAATACCCATGGGGTAAAAAGTAGTGAGAGTAGATGCAATGGAGGGCTCAAGACCATTGTCTCCTTATGTCATGGATCTGTTTCTGTGACTGATCTGCTGTGCGTGTAAGTAGAGACTTGGTCTTTCTGTGACTCTGTTTCTCACCTGTGAACCAGGGGTAACTGTAAGACTTCACAAATGAAATTATTACCAATGAGATGAGTAGATAGATGTCTACAGGTCCCTTAGAGCTGTGTTTGAGAACGTAACCACCCTTACATAGATGCTTTTCCTCTCTGTGTGATTATAGTATTTAATCTCTTCTTTCTCCTGCTCTCTTCAGCATCTGCCCAATTCTTACCCCTTTAGTTTTAAAATGGTGGGAACATAATGATTGAAATGGGCCAATCACAACCTAGAAGCCTTATAGAAATCGACTCCTTTGGCCTTTGCAATGCTTTTATGATCAGCAGTTATACTGTCAGTTATGAATGGGGAGGCTGAGGGCCAGACCCTTACCCAGGACTACACAGCTCATCGATGGCAGGTATCAGATGGGAAACATCTCCAAATTTTGTAGATGATGAGACTAAGAAGGCATGTGCTTTGCAGAAACTCAGCAGAGGCGTTTCCTACATCCTGGGGCAGAGGGCAACTGAGACTTGCTGGGTAAGTGACTCATCCATACTTTTTGTAAGGTGCTAATGAGTTAGGGGGTGGGGGATGGCAGGACAGGAACTGGTGCTGATCTGTGGGTGTCAGAGAGCAAGGCATGAGTAGAGGAGAAATTGTGTGAGTGTGAGGGGCAGGGAGACTTGAGGCTGGAATGAACACAAAGATGATTGCCTGGGGATCGAGTCCCCTCAAGACTGGGCAGAGCCCCAAGGAAGAGCTGCCGTTGAGGACAGAAGGTATCCGCATTACCTAACTTGAAGCATACTGGTGAATTACCAGTGTTGGGGGAGAGAAGGCAGGTTCATCTTTGCTGCAGGGGCCCAGAGAGGTAGTGTCTCGAGAGCACTGAGATGTGCTGTGTCCACTTGGGTGCTCCATGGGTACACAGAGCATGAAGGCCAGGCAGCAGAGAGGGCTAGAAGTCCCCAGGCGCAGCCAAGTATCAAGAAATAAGTTAGCAGTGTAGACATGAGCTCTGAAGGTGGACCACAGCTGGAGGGGGCAGATGTGAAATTTCTAGGGGCAGCAGAGAGCCTACATTGAGGTGGGGGATAGAATGGTTACCTAGGACAAAAGTCAGCCACCAAGGTGCAGGATACATTAGTGAGGGGAAGGAAATGACAGAAGATGCAGCCTGAGACCTGGTGGGCAGAAAGAGGCAGTTGATACAGTCTACTGCTGGGACACAGATCCTTCCTCCAACATTTCTTAGCTAGCAGCCTAGGGCAGGATTGCAGAGATACTGAACCATAGGCTCAGGGACCCAACTCCCTCACTGCTTGTGAGATCCCTGCACAGCCATTTCTTTCTTGCCAAGGTATAGTGGCACAGCTGATCGTGGAGAGGTAGAGCCAGCTTGGGAGGCAGAGCTCCATGCCTTGATATGAAACCTGTTGTTCTCTAGCTCAATGACTTAGGATGGCTGCTTCATCCTGAATTTGACCATCTATATAACTAGGACAATGTGCATGCCTCTCATGGTGCTAAGCTAAAAGACATAATATATATTAGCTAATGAACTGTACTTGCGATGCAAGGGAACTATGTATATGTGTATATGTGTATGCGTATATGCATACATGTACACACATATATATGTATTGGTGCTGGCTGAATTAGGAAGTGATTGTAGGGAAGCATAGATGTTAGGATGGGTGGGTAGATGGGTAAGTGATGCATAGAGTTGGTGGATAAAAGTGTGGATAGATGGTTGTGTGGGTAGGTGGGTAGGATAGGTAGATGGGTGAATAGATAAGAAACTAAGTAGTCAGATGAGCGGGTGAATAGGCAAGTCTGCATGTGGATGAATGGGTAAGTGGAAATGTTGGTAGGTAGACGGATGGATAGATGGAGGAGTGATTTGATGAGGAATAGGTGCATCTGCAAATGGGTGCGTTTAGTAGGTGATGTACGGACGAGGTGGATTCATGGATAAATGATGGCTAGGTGGATGTGTGGAAGGGCAGGCAGATGCATCCATGAGTGTACGGAAGGATGCTGGCTGATTTATGGGATCTTCCCAAACCAGGACTTACCTTAGCAGCTTCTGTGGCTCCACCTCTGGATGGGAAGGAATTAGCATAGGATGTGGGTTACCCTGTGTTACTCTGAGTAGACAGACATGGGTGAGCTGGAACATGCAGGCAGGGGGAGCACAGGTACTCATACTCACAGCAGATAGAAGGCCAGGCTTTTGAACCGCCCCCGGAGGAAGGTCTCGGTGCCCACTCCAATCAACACTGCAGGGGGAAGAGGAGAGGGGACAGTGGGTCTGGGCAGGCTACCCCACAGTGTTGTCCTGTGAGGACTCTTGGCTGAGGCATGAGTTTCTTCCTGAGGTCTGAGAGCTAGGGCAGTCCTGTTCCGTGTGTACTGACAGCTGTGGCTAGCTAAAGAGAGCAGGAAGCCTGCTTCCAGGCAGTCCCTGAAAACCCAGGAAGAGCCAGAAGAATACCCTAACCATACAGCACAGAAGCCATTCAAGGTCCATGTGCCCTAGAGACTGCCCAAATTAAAGCCAACCGTCCTTCAGGTTCATGACTAGTCTCTGTAGTTGCTTCTAAGACTCTTGCCATCCTGTGCCAGGCCAGTGTATGTGTTTTATGGCTTGCCATGGGTGAAAGGTACCTAGATTTCATTCTCTTGCCTGGATCACTGGGCTTGTGTCTGACATGTGGCTTCCACAAATGTAAGACAGTCACCCTAAAATTCAGAAGGTTGTCAGCCTAGACTTAAGGGCATATTTACTCTGAAGGTGACTCTCACAATCAAAAAGGCACTCACTTGGAATTGAAACAGATGCTCACTGTAAACATAAGGAGATATTTACACTCTTGTTGGCCTTAGCCCCTCTGAGCTCCTAGAAGAGTAACATTGATTTGCAAGATGCAATTAGAAGGATTGGACTTCCGGGCTACTTGTGTACTAGCAAGGCTTCATGTAGGACCCAGGATATCAATGAGCAATATCAGACAGTGAGTGGAAGGGCTCTTTGTCCACAGTGACTACATTTGTTAATGAAGCAAAAATATGAAAATGGGCATACTCTTTCCTCCTGAGAGGACTGGCAAGAATAGACTAGCTCTTGCCATAGTTCCGTTACTCATTATCTACTCCCTCACAACACCCCATCAGGTACTAAAATGGAATGCCTGTGGCCACCATGACACGTGGGTTTGCTTTTTCCAGTACAGGGCAGAGACGTTGAACATGTTGGTATGCATTCCCTGAGACAATAAGGTTTGTCAACAGAAGAAGTTGAGGAGATTCCTAGCATGACCTGGAAGCTCCCTGTGTGCTGAGGTCCATGCCACAGACACAGGTGATTCAAGATAGAGAAGTAGTGTGGGAAAAGGTCTGGATTTATAATAGAAACTTCTGGAAGAGATTTCAAGGAAACCTTGGCATTTATCGTTTAGTTCTAATCAGTCTGTTTAGGGAGAATTTCCTTGAGGCAGTAGAATTCACCCGTTTTGTACTAGATTCTTTTCTTTTTCTTTGTTTATTTTCGCTCAGTTTTTCAGTGTTGGGGAGCAAATCTTGGAGGCAGAGTCTTAGTCACTGACCTAGATTACCGGACTCTTAGTAGATCCTTTAAGTATGACCCATAAATGAAAGACACCATTTGAAGTGTTTGTTTTGGCTTTAGCTCAGTAGCAGTTCCTGTGATAGACTGCAATGCCTCGGGCTGTATCCACACCCCTCATCATATGACTTAGCCATCCCTTGTCTGTGGCAATGAGTTGCTTCTTGACTCAACAACACGACTTTCTCTGAACAATGGGATTTTCTAGACACAATGCAAGAAGAGACATAAAGTAGCCTTGAGACCCGAGCCTTTCCTTTTGTCTCTGTCACTACCAGCCTTCCACTGGACCCCAAGAGACACACAGAACAAAACTGTCCTATCCAAGGCCAGTCTAGATAAGCCATCAGTTGCCTGACCTCCAGGTAGAGATTCATAGCCAGCCAACATTAGCAAAGCTGCTTAGCCTACTCACCTGGAGCCTATTGTATGCCACTGAAGTTTTCAGCTGTCCAAGGACACCATTTTAGCAAGATAACATGCACTTTCAGTGACAGCTTTAGTGAGACATTCTTGACCTGTGACAGATTGCAGATGTTTCAAGTGCAGTTTGATAAGAACTGACGTATGTCTTCACCTATAGAAGCATCACTACATCAAGAGATGGCATCGTTATCACCCTGAAAGCCTCCAGGTATCACCTCAGTGAAATCTTACATTCTCTTTCTGTGGTCCACCCTTAAGCGGCTAGTGATCCACTTCTATCACTAGAGACTAGTTTATGCTTCCTGTGAGTTAAGATAAATAGTACTGAACAGTGTGCACTCATCTTTGGCTATTTGTTATACTCGAACAGTTATTTCCACGCTGATGTTAGCTGTAGTATGCACCAGTAGTTCGTACCAAGCTATGGAGCTGTGGCTGACTCGTATTGCTAACTAATGAGGATGCAGCTCAGCTTGTTTATTATAACTCACACATTGACGGACAACTAGGTCACTTCTAGTTTTGGAAATTATGAACTGAGCTGCCATGAGTGTTTATGTGCATTCTTTTCATGGTTATGTGCTTCTTTTCTCTTGGGTAGATGCTTGGCAGTGGAATAACCAGATCATATGGCAGCAGCATGTAAAACTTTTGAAGAAACTGTCAAGCTGTTTCAAAGTGAGTGCACTGTTTGCATTCTCACTAGGAGTGCATGAGAATTCCACAGCCTTGCCAATGATTTGGTCTTTTAAATTCTAGCCATCCTAACGCATATACATCGGTTCTCATTTGCATCTCTCTCAGGACTAATGATGTTGAACGTCTTTTCACATTTGCCATCACTTGTGTTTTGTGTTGGCTTCCAATTCAACATTTTAAAGGGAAATGTTTTAAGATCTTGATGGGATCCAATCAGACGGATTTTATTAATTCTTTTACTAGGGACAGAACTTTTCATATTGAACTAAGAAATCTCAGCCTAATTCAACACAGAGATTTTATCCTTTTGTCTAGGAGTTTTATTAATTTAAGATGTACATTTTAGGTTTATGATTCATTTTGAGCCTTTAAAGAATAAGATTAGAGATAGGTAATTTTCTAGAGATGGATATTTAACTATTCATGTTTCATGCATTAAAGATGCATCTTTTATATACTAATTATCTTTGTGATTTTCTTTGTTTTTCCCTGGCAAGCTGTACATTCTGTTTCTCTTCATTGCATGACAGTGCTGACTAAAGCCCAGTCCCAGTGCTGGCTATATGTGGTGAGGATGGGCACCCTAGGCTTGTTTCAACCTCAGGAGAAAAGCATCTAGCCTTTAACTTTCAGAAAGTGGCATATTTTTAGTTAGTTTGTTTTTAGATGCCCTTTTTTTTCCTGCCTTCAAGAAACACATCTTGGGGCTCAGCAGTTTACAGCACTGTCCTTTTCCAGACACTGGGGATTCATGTGCCATTACCCACATGGCAACTCACAACTGGCTGTAACTTTAGTTCCAGTGGCTCTAACACTCTCACACAGACCTAACACAGACAAAACACCAATGCACATAAAATAAAAATGAATAAAACAATATTAAAAAGAAACATACCTCATGACTAATGATAGACAGTACTTCAATAAAATTATGGAAAAGGGTATTCCACGCAAATGGAACTAAGAAACAAGCAGGCTATTAAAATATATGACAAAATGGACTTTAAGCCAACTAATCATAAGAGATAAGGAGGGACGGTTGATTCACATTAGAGGAAAAACCCAGCAACAGGATATTATGATCCCAAACATAGATGCACTAAACCTAGAAGCACTCAATTTCTTAAAAGACTATTTAATTTAAAATCACAAAGTGATTCCAACACAACAATAGTGGATGATTTCAATACCTTACTTCCACCAATAAATCATGTGGAATAAAACTAAATAGAGAATCTGAGGAGTGACATCATAAATCCAATGGACATATGTCTATTTTCAGAAAATCTCACCCTAAACCTAAAGATTATACAATCTTCTCAGTGGCCCACGGAACTTTTTACAAAAGAGAGCACATATTAGGACACAAAACAAGTCTCAACAAATAAAGGAAAATTGAAATCATGTCCTACATTTTATCTGACAATCATGGGAGACTAACAACAGAAGAAATGACAGAAAGTACACAGACTCATTTAAGCTAAATAACACACTACTAGATCAAGATTGGACTAAGGGAGACATCAAGAAGTAAATTAAAAGATGCCCAGGATGTAACAAAATGAAAACACAATATATGAACATCTGTGGGACAAAATGAAGACATGACTGAGGGGGAAGCACCTACATCACAAATCACCATACAAATGTTAGAGAGACCTCAAATTAATAATCTCATGATGCACTGAAGCCTTTGGAAAACAAGAACAGTTAACACCCCAAAGAGAAGGTGCGAGGAGAAAATCAAAATCAGGGATGAAATTAACACAAAAGAAATGATTAAAACAATACAAAGAATCAATGAACTGAAGAGTTTGACAAACCTTTGGCCAAACTAACTAAAGAAAAAGAAAGCATCAAAACTAATCAAGTTAACTAAAAGAAAGAGAGAAGGAGTCTAAATTAATCCAACTAGAGAAAAATGGAGCTATCATGATAGAACTGAGAAAATTCTCAGACTTGTAAAGGTATACATCAAAAAGTTATATTCTACCAAACTAAACAAAATCTAAAATTGGATGAGTTTTTATATATACATATTTTATATTCCCATATACATACATTCAAACATATAAAATCAAATTTAAGTCAAGATGAAGTTAATAATTTAAGTATACCCATAACATCCAGTGAGCTAGAAGAAGTAGTTAAAACCTCCTTAGTTAAAAAAGATTCTACTAGAAATCTACTACAGCTGATAAATATATTATGCAAAATTAATTACAAAATCAATGCACAAAGCAGTAACCTTCTCTCATGCAAATGACAAATGTACAGAAGCGGCAAGCAAGGAAACAATATCATTTGTATTAGTCTCAAAACCAAGGAAGCAAAAAATTTGTATACCAAAAGCTTTAAGATGCTGACATAGTGAAGACAATATCAGAAGATGGAAAGACCTCCCACCCTCATGAATCAATAGGATCAATACTGGGAAAATATCCAGCCTACCAAAAGTAATCTACAGATTCAACATCATTCCCACCAAAAATTCAATTCAGTTTTTCAGAGAAATTGGGACAAAATGGA